CCTTTGTTCCTTGCACTTAAGAGGAAGAGAGATGGCACCTGGCTGATTGGGGCTCAAATCATTCCTTGTCCCCATTTGCCTGGGAAGAGAGACTCCAATAAAATTAGCTTCTCAGTATGGTACTGGAAAGTCAGAAAGCTGTAGATGGGCACATGAAAACTGAATGTTTGTTCCTCGGGACCTTACTCTTTTACTCTATAGTTTGAAGTTAACAGGCCCCCAAAAGCAGTGGATTGTTGGGACATATACATGGAGTTTGAGCCTCTGGAGTCCTAGACCTGGGTTCAAGTCCTACCTATGCACTGATAGTTATGTTCTCTTTATCTGTAAAATGGGTTAGTGCCTGTCAACCTAACTCATACAGTTAGTAAGAAGGAGCAAGTAACTCATGGCTCTGAAGGTGATTAGCAAGTTTTAAAGTGCTTTTGAAATACTCATAATTACATACCCTTTTGATTTTCTGCAGCTCACAATTCTTTCTGCTTTCTGCAAAGTTTTCATTAGAAAATTTTCAATGAATTTTAAGATCTTTTCTGGCTTACAAATTCAATTGTTTTATAAAGCCTCTTACAAACATTCTGGGCTCAGAAATAAAAGATTAACGTTTTATTTCTTCCCCCATTTGCCACCACCTGTTTAGAGACAAAGCCTGTTAGTTCCTGAAAGTCATTCTGTTAATAATCCATTTTATTTATTCATTCAAGAACTGGTGAGTGCATGCTCTGCTTAGGGTGCTTTCAGGTACTATGAGCAATAGAGATAAGACTGTGTTGTTACCTGAGCCCTGGACAATCTGATATTACCCAAAGACCAACTATTTGAAGTTCCCATTGCCAGTTTACACTAAGCACTATGAGAACTGAGCTGCCTGTCTTCCTTCTTGATGATTCCAATTCTCAGTCACACTCATATGCTTCATCTCCTTCAGAAGAAATATTTGTTTGGCCCTGGTCTCTTGGAATTTGAAACAGGTCGTTGGTCCACCACCAGTCAGGGTGTGAGAAAAAAATAAAATAATGGGGGAATAAAAAAGATTATGTATCAAAAACCTTGAATCGGTGCTTGGTTCACCATATAACATCAGTTATTTCCTATTACAGATTGAATTCTGTCCTCAAAATTGGTATCTTAGAATCATAACTCCTGCAAATGTGACCTTCTTTCTAAATAGTTTTTCTCTGAAGATGTTGTCAGTTAACTTAACAAGGTCACACTGGAGTGGAGTAAGTTCTATTTCCTTCTGTTGTTGTTGTTGTTATGTGCCATTGAGTCAGACCCGACTCACAGCGACCCATCCTTGGGTTTCCGAGGCAGTATCACTACGGAAGTAGATTGCCCCATCTTCCTTCCGAGGAGTGGCTGGTGGATTTGAACCACCAGCCTTCTGGTTAGCAGTCAAGTGCCTTAGGCACTATGCTACCAGAGCTCCCTTCTAGGTGGTGTCTTATAAAAGGAGAGTAAAGACAGGGAAACAGAATCACACAAGGGAAGTCAGGCACCATGTAAGGATGCATTTAAAAACCACGAAACACCCATAGCAACCAGAGCTGGAAGAGATCGGAAGAATCCTTTTGAGTGGACAGAGAAAGCATGGTCCTGCCAGTGCCATGAATTTGGATTTTTGGTTCCAGAACCATGAGACAATAAATTTCTGTTCTTCAAAGCCACCCAGTTTGTTATTTTATTACAGCTTGTCTTTGTTGTTGTTGTTTTGCCATCGAGTCAGCCCCGACTCATAGCGACCCCTCCTTGGGTTTCCGAGGCAGTATCACTACGGAAGTAGATTGCCCCATCTTCCTTCCGAGGAGTGGCTGGTGGATTTGAACCACCAGCCTTCTGGTTAGCAGTCAAGTGCCGTAGCCACTATGCTACCAGAGCTGTCAACTTGGTTCCAACTCATAGCAGCCCCATGTACAACAGAACGGAACACTGCCTGCTCCTGCATCATCTTCCCATCATTGCTGTGCTTACGCCCATCATTGCAGCCACTGTGTCAATCTGTCTTATTGAGGATCTTCCCCCTTTTCACTGATCTCTACTTTATGAAGCATGGTATCCTTCTCCAGGTATTAGTCCCTTCTGACAACATGACCAAAGTATGAGAAACAAGTCTGGTCATTCTCACTTCTAAGGAGCATTCTGGCTGTACTTCCTTCAAGCCAGATTTATTCATTCTTCTAACAGACCATAGTACACTCTATATTCTTCTCCAGCACCACAATTCAAATGCATCAATTCTTCTGCAGTCTTTCTTATTCATTGTACAACTCTCACATGCTTATGATGCTATTGAAAATACCATGGCTTCAGTCAGGCATACTTTAGTCTTCCAAATGACATCATTGCTCTTAAACACTTTAAAGAGGTCTTTTGCAGCAGATTTGCCCAATGCAATGTATCATTTACTTTCTTGACTGCTGTTTCCATGGGTGTTGATTGTGGATCAAAGTGAAATGAAATTCTTGACAACTTCAATTTTTTTTTTTTTTTTTTTCTCATTTTGTCATGATGTTGCTTACTGGTCCAGCTGTGAGGGTTTTTATTTTCTTTATGTTGAGCTGTAATTCATATTGAAGGCTATAGTCTTTGATCTTCATCAGCAAACACTTCAAGTCTTCTTCACTTTCAGGAAGCAAGGTTGTGTTGCCTACACAGCACAGGTTGTTAATGAGTCTTCCTCCAATCCTGATGCCATATTCTTCTTCATATGGTCCAGCTTCTCAAATTATTTGCTCAGCATACAGATCAAATAAGTGAAAGTATGCAACTTGACACACACCTTTCTGATTTAAAACCATGCAGTATCCCCTTGTTCTGTTTGAACGACTGCTTCTTGGTCTATGTACAGGTTCCTCATGAGCACAATTATGTTTTCTGGAATTCCCATTCTTCACAATGTTATCCATAATTTGTTATGATCCCCACAGTTAAATGTCTTTGCATAGTCAATAAAGCACAAGTAAACACCTATTTTATTACATCAGCCTCAAGAAATTAAGATGGTTTTCCTATCTCTTAAGGGCACCAGGACTGATCAAAGGGTCCTTTTTGAGAAAGAACCTAAAAATGAAATCTGGAAAGAGAGAGACAAACTATATAGTGGAAGTAAAATATACGGGTCTTTACCAAGGAAGTCAACAGAGGTGGAGTGAACGTTTGAAGAGGTGAAGTGAGGACAGCTTGGTAGGTGGGCAGAGGGCAGTGCAGAACCAACAATATGATTTCTGGGTTGGATGAAGAGCTGGACAAGATTGGTTTTCAATCAATCTTATCTTATAGCTCCACAACTGTTTTGGTTTCATAAGGCTTTTCTCAACTCTCCCACTGTTGGTTAAGTCTTTTTCTATAATTGCAAAGTAGAAACAGTGAGCTCTTTGACTAGTGTTAGGACCATTATGCAGGATCTACTGTTTTCAACCCTTACCTTAGTCATTAAGGTCACCAGCTTGCCAGTCCACAAAGACTTGTTCATTTGTCATGTTTGCCTTGGAACCAGTGGAATGAGCAAAGTAAAGGCAAAATACCCAGAAGTAGTTAAAGAAAAGTGATAACTGTGATTACATAAACTTGCCCTTTTTTCCGCCTAAGTGGTATCTGGATTATGGTCAATTGCCACAGAGTGTTTTATCATGACTATAATTGAAAGATCCAGGCCTATATAAACCAAACTTAGCAAATAAATACGATGTAGAAAATTCTATTATGATTTCAGTTTCATGGGGTCTGAGAGAAGGACAACATGAAATGCCTTGTAAGTATATTTTCTGATTTTGAAATGTGATTGTTTTAGAGCTAAAATAGCCAGGGAATGATTCTATTTTTCCCGTTGAGTCTTCATGTTAAACCCAAATGCAATTTCCAAATATCAATTAGTTATGTAATATGAAAGCCTGTCTAATAGTGAATTTCTAAAATGGTCAAGATTTTTTTTGTATTTAGTAAAAGTATTCATATTTTAGCATCTTCTCTTTTTAGATCCATCTTATTTACAAACTGCCAGCAAAAGGAAACTTCAAATACATTTAATATATGGAATCAACTGAGAATACTTTAATAAAATATTGTTATCTATATCTCATGTATCTCCTTGATTAATCTACTGCACTATGAGTATTGTTTATAAAATAGTTGTTTGCTTTTTATTTTAATAGTTGTTTGCATCTCACATTTTTGTTATTATCATGGTATGTTAGAATATTTCATGGGATATTGTGGGGATGGAGGAGAAAGCATGGAATTCCTGTCGAGTGTACCTTAGGTTGTAAGTGTCCTTGAGCTGAGTCTGCCTTAAGGAGATTGGATATAGGGAAAATGTTCACTGCAAGGCTTTCTTGCCCTAACCTTTTCCTGCCTCACCAATTGTCTTTCATTTACTCTGTGATGCCTGAATTTCTTTCAACAGACAAAGCAAGTCACATTGAATGGAAGTAATTAGTTAATTGCAAATATCTCTACAAGTAGTAACATTTAGGCAAAATATATTGCAAAATAAGGTGTAAATAAGTGGTGCTGGTTTTTTATTCTTAGATGTGGTGAAAGAATCCAGAGGAAAGGAAAACAGGAGGCTGTAAGGCTCCAGAGGGGTCCACAGTGGCTGAGGAGAGAAACAGGGGAAGAAAGGGAAGGCTGAGAACCTGAATTATCACTTATTGTACAATTTGGCATAGGGATGGTCTGGTCCTACATGCAGATCAAGTGGTTGATCATAATAATTAGTCCAGTGATTGGCAGTAGATGTAGAGCAAACATTACATTGCCAGGAAATAAAAGATGTTCTTGAGTAAATGATAAAACTTTGCCTCCTGAGCAGCCAGCATATAGCATATCAACCACACTGAATGACAACTTCCTGATACACACTGGGGCCTCATTCAGTTCATGAGAGACAGTAAAAGTTACAGATCATTTTAAGAAGGCTGTAAGCCTCAGTCTGGCACTGGGCTCTGGGCTCATCTGGGACTAACAAAAAAGGAGTCCATAGTTATTTGTTTGCATTTCAGATTGTGTTTTCCATGGTCATGATCTTCCTCCTAACTCCATCTTTTGCCCTAATGGTGAGTGAGGGTACAGAGGGCTCAACCTTGTCTTTATTGGACGTATTACAATTGTGATCATCAAAAGTAAACTCCTTCATTTTTCTTGTGAGCATCCCATAATCCTGCAAGGCATGGGAAAAGTAGAAACTCTAGACTTCCAGCTATTCTCACTGCTGTTTGGTTTTCTCCAGAATACCACTGACAGTCGTGTGTTGGATGGGTCTATCGGGACCCAAATTATCCACGTCAATGCCTTCCGAGGTATGGTCAGCATCCGAGACAACAATGTTTTGAGTGAATGGGATGGAATCGTGGACTACAAGAATGTAAGGAGTGAAATACATTCATTACAATGCCATTACATTTCTGGCCAAAAATGTAGCCTGTGCTTTTCCAGAGAGAAGAAGACATTGTCTACATTTGCTTCCTTTAGATGCAGGCCCTCGATGGGAATATATGTCCTTAGGTAAGGGTCCAGCTTTCTTGCAGTTGCAATGAATTCTTTTTGAGCAAGGACTGCAGGAGGAACTTCTCTGGTCTAAAAGTATCCCACATCTCTTTGCATTCCTGTGAGGTATAGATTTCACATGGCTATCAAACACCACCAAGATAAGGAAGCCATTTAAAGAGTTTCTTTTTGTATAATCAGTATGTGCTAAAAAGTCTGTTTATCTTGACCTCAGATTTCAGTCAGTTTATTTCCCAAAATGAAAAAGAATTATATTTTCAGTTTTCTTAGAAATCTTACCTTGATTTGCCCATCTCCTCAGATAATAAGAACTAGAAAAAGATGGAGGATGAGGAAGCAGGAGCCTGTGTCTTTTCCTTGGTACTGTGATAGAAAAGTCCCATAGTCTCCAAGCCATCTCTTGGTCTTTGTGTCCCTCAGTTTACTCTTCTGCAAATTAGCATTGATAGCTGCCTTTCCTACAAGACTCTGAGAGGATTATATGAAGCAAAGTCCCTAACTCTTCACCCTGGCCTACAAGGCAGTCTGTGATCGAGCCCCTATTAGTTGGAAGCCACTCTCCCCACCTACATTGCCACACTGGACACCTCAGGATGGACACTTTAAACACTTAGCTTTCTCTCTGCTCCCACACATACCTGCCATGCTCTCTTCCCTGAACAACATCTCCCTCTCTCAGTCTTCACCTAACAGGTTTATGATTGCCCAGAGAAGAACTTCCTCCTACAGGACATGCAGTTTAGTGATTTCCTACTTTGTTATAAACTGTGGAAACCTTTCTTCAAACACAATGTTCCACAAAAGTCTAGTATATAGAACAGAAGAAGTTAGAACAATTCTGGCTAGAGAAGGGAGATGTTGATGAAGTGCTTGGGTTTAGTCATACACTGCTGGAGAACCGTTGCTCAGATACAAAGCTAAATGATGCAAAAGACAAATCCAGCATCACATGGAGGATGGTAGTCAGTAGCAGCCCACGGCCAGAATTCAAGTCTAGAGGTCCTGACTCTCTTACAGTCAGAAAGCACTCTATAACTTGCTTTCGTAAACAGCAAATATCTCATCCTCTCATGTTCATTACAACCTTGTCGGAGTGATGCTATTAGACTTGTTCTACACATGAAGAGCTCTGGTAGCATAGGGCCTAAGGCACTTGACTGCTAACCAGAAGGCTGGCAATTCAAACCCACCAGCCACTCCTTGGAAGGAAGGTTGGGCAATCTACTTCCATAGTGATACTTCCTCAGAAACCCAAGGAGGGGTTGCTATGAGCCGGGTCCGACTCGAGGGCAAATAACAACAACAAAAACACATGAGGAAACAGGGTCATGGAGGACATTGAGAATCATTATGGCTGCAAAGTGACAGAAGAGAACCTTAAAGTCATTTCAAGTCAATACCATAACTGATCCCCAAACTCTACACCCACTAATTTATTAGTGGGGTGCAGAGACTCCAGGGGTATTCCTTCTCATGTCTGAAGCAAGGGCAGCACCAGGGACCCAAGGAAGCAGCAGGCCTCTGTGAGTGTTACAAGTTTTGATCCCAGCCCTTTATTCTGATACCCAGGGCAGCACTCTGCTCTGCCTCAGAGTTGAAAGAACAGCTACAGTCAGCATCTGGTAGAAAGCTGGAGTCCATTAATATCTTGACTGAGTGAATGAAATATTTTTACTGTGTTGTTTAAGGCCCTCCTGGCAATTAAGCTGTTTAGTAAGATGGCCTGTGTCCTGGCCAAGATGGACCAAGCTGCTTTCCCAACACTGGAAGATATTATCAGAGCTCTGGACCAGCAGGTAAGAAAGAAGGCTCACTGAGGTTCCCACCTACTTTGGTGTCTTCCACCTGTGCACCCTGATCTCCTAGGCAATTCTCTGTACACAGGGGTACTTAGTTCATATCCATTTTTAATGCCCAGGAAATACCACCACCATGCAAAAGACTCTGAGTTCAGCCAATGGTTCATTAAGCCAAACCATATTTCAATCAGTGAAAACTCTATAAATTAGATTAATTTTATCTATTCTGAAAGAGTTTGAGGTATATGTTAATTGATATAAATTGTTGAATATAAACATTAGAGTGGATTCATAAATTATTTGTATCACCATGCTTTCCTTCCCTCCTCTCATACCGCCTAGACACCACACACACATTTTATCTTTAGTCTAAAAATACCTCCAGACCAAACTAGTTGCTGTCATTTATATGTTTCTGACTCATGGCAACCCCTTGTGTGATAGTAGAACTGTGTTTCATAGGGTTTTCAATGGCTGGTTTTTCTGAGGTAGATTTTCCAGGCCTTTCATCTGAGCTGCCTCTAGGTGGACGTGAACACATCCTTCCAGTTAGCAGCCGAGTACATTAACCATTGAAACTACTCAGGGACTCCCAAAAGAAGCTCAGGACTACTCTCCTTCAGTTTCACAAACAACAATGGTACTCAAACAAATTATAAAGCAGCAGAAAGCCCTTGGAAAATCATTGAAATCTGCTTGTCATTTACTGAAATAAACTGCACAGCACGTGGTCACTAACTTTGTGGAAAAATACTCCTCAGTCATAAAAAAAAAAAAAAAAAGCAAATGATTAATTTTTAAAAAAGAGAGAAACAAAAATTATTCCACTCATTTTATTTAACAAATGAAAATAGTATAAATACAACAAAAATATTAAAACTATTCCATGTTGTCTTTAAGGAGACATGGGAAAAACATTGGAGGGTGGAAGAGTTGAGAAATTAAGAAGGGTGAAGAGGACAGAGACTAAAGAAAAATCACAGACAGATTCACACAGATTTTTCTGGAGCCATGTCGTCATCTTGTGGCCAGATAGGATATTACTGCTAGATACCAAATTCAAAAGCAAATTTAGGTTCCCACCTATTTTGGTAAATTAAATGTCTCATATGTACTATGGCAACTTCATCATGGGCCAATGTCTTAATTATCTGGTGCTGCTGTAAGAGAAATACCATATATGGGTAGCTTTAAAGGACAGAAATTTGTTTTCCCACAGTTCAGGAAGATAGAAGTCTGAATTCAGGGTGTGGCTCTATGAATAGTTGTTAGGTGCCACTGAATTGATTTCTATTCACAGAGACCCTGTGTACAACAGAACAAAACACTCCTGTGCCGTCCTCACAATTGTTGCCATACTTGAGCCCATCATGGTAGCCTCTGTGTCAATCCATTTCTTGAAGGTCTTTCCCTTTTTTGCTGATCCTCTACTTTACCCAAGCATGAGACTTCTCCAGGAACTGATCTCTTCTGACAGTATGATCAAAGTACAAGAGTTGAAGTCCAGTCACTCTGGCTTCAAAGAAGCATCCTGGCTGTACTTCCTCCAAGCCAAATTTGTTCATTCTTCTAGCAGTCCATGATACATTCGATATTCTTTGCCAACACTACAACTCAAATGCATCAATTCTTCTGTGGTCTTCTTTATTCATCACAAATGTCTTCATCACAATCACCTTCAGGAGGAGTAGAGGGTCAGTAAAAAAGAAAAAGACCCTCAATGAGGTAGATTGACACAGTGACTGCAACAATGGGCTCAAACATAGTAAGTTATCGTGAGGATGGTGCAGGACTGGGCAGCGTTTTATTCTGTTGTACACATGGTTGCTATAAGTCAGAACCAACGCAATGGTACCTAACAATAAACAACACCAACTCTAGGGTAAGATTCTTCTTTGTCTGCTTTAGTTTCTAGTAGCCAGAAAATTTTTGAGTTTTTGGCCTTGCAAATCCACCTTGTCAGATAGTGTTTGTCTGCCCCAGTTCGTTCACTCATCTCTCTGTGTCTAGTTCCTCTTTTTATAATTCAGAAGTGATCCACCCTACACTGGTATGAACCCAACTCATTGATTATATTGAATTAAATTGTATTATGGAAAGTGATTGCATTATGTTAGATTAGATTAGATCCACAGGTATAAGAATTAGGATTCTAACACATATTTTGGTGAGACACAATTCAATCCATCACAGGTAGGTCTCCTGAAATATGTTCTTGCCTCTCTCTTGTACCACATCTACATGCTATCTCACTGTTTTGATATGCCATCTCTTCCAGGTTTTAAAGCAATACTCATCCACCCATGGCCTGACCTACACTGTTTTACCCAGCCGGGTCAAGAACTTAGCCCAGTATGGAATGCCCATCAAAGACATGTGCAGAGCAGTCCCCACGTACTTTGTCCAGCAACAAAAAGAAGGTGTGTTAACAACTTCACTAGAAACGCAAATCCATGGGCGAGTTAAAAAATGCAATATTCTTTCTAGGTCATTCCAAATTCTAATGACAGTTTTCAGGTCAGTTCCATTACTTTGTAACTGGGTATAAAAATAATGTGGCCTGGAATGTATTTCCCTGTGGTACCAGAAATGATTTCTCAACACTGCACTCACTGATAATGAGTAGAGTTAGCTTTACCAGAAGGTCAAGTGGGCACTGTTCTTAACCGTGGGATTTAATACTCAGTGAATATATTCACTTAACCCAAAGCTGCATCAACTCTTGCCAAAGCAGCACAATGCCTGACACCCCAATACCAGTGACCCATTGCTTTGGAGTCTTTAGTACTCCTCTTTCTTAAGCTGCCCAGAAGTTGAGAGGAGAAAATCCTAATTCTTATAAACTACTTGGAAAGGAGCATTCCAGAGGCTGAGAACTCTGCTGGGAATGTTTGGGAGGATGGATGGAATGCTTGGAAAGCACTGCCAGATAATACTTCAAGATCTGCTGCTGTTCCAGATAACGTCTTCCTGTTAGACTATTGGCAGTCACTTACATCACAGTATAAATTAACCCAAACTTCTTTATAACTGGAGGATCCAACAGGAAAACAGGGAGAAAACGAAAGGTTGAGGGATCAAATATGATGATTAAGGGTCAATAAAAGAAACAGAAAGAAATGTGAAGCTAAACATTGCAGGAGCAAGAGGAATCTTCATTTTAGCCCCATGGTCTTTTTTTTTTAACTTTTCATTGTGATTTAGGTGAAAGTTTACAGAGCAAATTGGTTTTTCATACAACAATTCATACCTATTTTGTTTTGTGATATTGATTATAATCCCAACAAGGTAACAGCACTCTTCCCACTTCCTTGTTGTGTTTACCATTTCCATTTGTCCTTCTTTCCTATCACTCCCTGTCTTCTGGGCTTCATCCCTGGGAAAATGTTGCCCTTTTATTCCCCTGTGGTTGATTTTTCTAAGGGGTGTGTATCTCCCTGCTGTTGTTCACCTTATAGGCTTGTCTATCATTTGGCTGAAAGTTGAGTCGCGGAGGTGAGTTCAGTGCCAGGCTTCAAGAGTGTCTAAGGGTATGTGAATGATCAGAATTCCCAGGTGTATCGTAGGGCTGACAAGGGGCAAGGTTGTGGTCACTGCTTGGTCACAGCCAGCTACCCAGAGGGACCAAGTAGTTGAACCTGTGGGCTTGGGACCATAGTCGCAGGGGGACATCAAGCTCAATTGACATAACATACTATACAAAACATTGTTCCACCTCCTACTTTGGTGAGTAGCGACTGGGATCTTAAAAGCTAGCAAGCTGCCATCTAGATGCAACGATGGGTCTCTCCTCTTTCAGAGCAAAGAAGAATGAAGAAAACCAAAATTCATGGAAACACTTAGTCCTAGTGACTGGCACACCATCTGATCTGCAGCCTATATGACTATGAGACCAGAAGAACTAGATGGTGCCTGGCTACCACTGTCATCCACTTGGAAGGGGATCTATGTAGGAGATCCTTGACAGAGAGGGAGAACAATGTGGAACAAAACTCAAAATCACTTGGGAAAAAAAAGGGGACGGACCAGGTTTCCTGGTCTGAAAGAGCCTGGTGGAACCACTGAGACTATGGCCCCTAGCTGTCCTTCAGGTCTGGAATTGAACCCACACCTGTGGTTTCCAGCCAAACAAAAGACAGGCATATGAGTTGAACATTTACCTAAAGTACATACACTCCTTAGAGAGAACAATCATGGGAGAAAGAAGGGCTGCTTATGCACAGGGAGACAGCTCAGGGGGCAGGAGTGCATGGAGGGATGGACATTGGAAAGAGGTAACTATGGGGAGGAAGTGGGAGGGGAGCTGTTGCATTGTGGTAAACTGTGGTCAATGTCATCAGACAAAGTGTATGTGAACTGCTGTATGGAAAGTGAATTTGCTCTGTAAATCTTCACCCAAATCACAATTATAAATAAATAAATAAATAAATAAAAAGAGTGTGTAAGGGCCATAGTCTCAGGGATTCCACCAGTCTCTATCACACCAGTAAACCTGGTCTTTTTTTCATTTTGACTTTTGTTCCACATTTTCCTTCCACTCTATCTGGGACCTATTAAAGTGATCCCTTTCAGAGTGGTAATTAGTGGTAGCCAGGTACCATATTGTTCTGGTCTCAGGGTCCTGGAAGCTGGGATTCACTTCACCCATTAATCCTTTGGACTAATTATTTCCTTGCATGTTTTATTTTATATTTTTTTTCACTCTTCTTTGCTCTGGACAGGGAGAGACTAATAATTGCACCTTAGATGGCTGCTCACAAGCTTTTTAAGACCCCAGTCACTTCTCACTAAAGTAGGATGGACAACATTGTCTTTGTTGACCATGTTATGCTAATTGACCTTGGTGTCCCTGAGACTACAGTGTTGAGCCCCCAGGCCCAATGACTCATTCTCTTAAGATGTTTGGTTATGTCTAAGAAGTTTTCATAACTTTTCCCCAAGATCCATAGTTTTTTGCTAATAGAGTTATATTGAGAACAACATCAGCTATAAGCACTACTTATAATATGTTCATTCTACTCTGGGATCTTAAGGAAATGAAGTGCTCTTCTCTTTTGTAAGATGAATCTCTTTCTTTTTAAAGGTATGGCGCTGGCAATTGACCCTGATTCCTGTTTCAAAATCCAACTTCTGTCCTTTATGGGTCTCGCCATCTGTGGTGAGATCCCTGGGCTCTAAAACTCCAGGCTGGCCACATGGAGAGTGGACTCACCTGGTCTGGGCTGCTAGCCTGGAGCCAGTCTCAAGGGCCTGGTCTCCTTCTGTCTACAGGACACTACTCATTCTGTCATCCACCTTCTGCCCTTTGACCAATATCAAGTTTTGTAATCAGGAAAGTAGGGTACAATTCTCCCTCTGAGTTAGAACAATAAATCTTCCTCTTGTTTCACTGATCTAGCAGATGGTTATACTGAGCCCTCACTGCCTACACAGTCCTCTCTCAAGTCACTAACATTACAAGCCACATGAAGTCCAGAGCATCACACACCAGCATGGGGTGAAGGCAGAGGTGCCTATCTTAGGGCATCCCATTTCTAAGGGCCTCTCTTTAAGATATCCCCTGAGAATCCCTTGACAATTTTGGCCAAAAGAAAAACTTCAAAACTAAACAAAAAAAAAAAAAAA